ACTTTGTGTTGGTCTTTCACATTAAATTCCAGTGAAATATATTTATGTTTGTGGTTGTAATGTGACAAAATATGGAAAAGTTCAAGGGGTATGAATAGTTTTGCAAACCACTGTATTCCCGTAACATGAAGAGAACTGCATTTCTTTCTCTACGTCTCCACACAGCAGTAACATCTCCAGAATGTGACAGAATAATTACAACTTTCCTGATAGTAGCAACATGTTCCTGATAACTTCTCTCCATTGTCCTGAGATTTGTGGACCCTGTGAGTTTGTGACTTCTGCTTCCTGTTTACTACACATGCGACTGACGTAATTCATTTTCTTCAAGACAGTTGATTGAAACACATCTGATTCGCATTTCTTTTTTTCCTTTTTGCGAAATTTTAAAAATTTGCTGAAAATTGAAATTAAAATTGGATGGAAACACGGCTATTGTCGTCCTTCACCGCTCCAAAATCCAGTTCTATATTTTTTTTCTTCTCCCGCCGCTTCTCCATCATTTGGAAAATCTCAGTAAATTCTCTTGTTTTCAGCTTGCTCTGAATGCTCATAAATTACGTCATCCAGGACGGTGATTGAACAAATAAAATAAAGACAGTCTTTTATCAAGTGGAAAAAAAAAATCAAGCATGGTTACACTATAAAATTGATCAAATTAAAATTGGAAAATTTAGGAGAAATAAAATAGAATTTTAGAAAATAAATAAAAACAGATTTCATATGGTCCTGATTTTTTTCAGTTTTTATATAAGTCAACATTGAAAATATATCATTTTCAAGGGCACACACATGTTGGTTTTTCTGTCCTCATGGGGTCTTTACATTGACTTCTGTTCATTTTCCAGTCATTTCTATAGCCTAACCCAGACCTTTTACCCTAAACCTAACCCCCCAGTACATACCTGGCACAAAATCTAGCCTAAACTCAGTTCACACCTTGGTCCTAAAACTAACCCCCCACCCAAAAATCATTATCTGTACATGTAGGGACCAAGCTTTGGGCCCCACAAGGAGCATTGGTTCCCCTTGTGGCTGTATTTTTCTAGAAAATGGTCCCATGATGTAGCAAATACGTGTCTGTGTTCGTGTGCCTCTGCGTTTATGCACTGTGCAGGACACAGGGGAGGGAGTGGGAAAGCCCTATGGGAAATGTGACTACAGGGACAGTGGGATGTTGAGGCATAATGGCTTCGCTCTCCGCTGACCTCGGCATAACCCAGCAAAGTATTTACAGCCTTTGATCCATGGGCTGTGGGGTTGGGATGGGGCTCAGGCTGCTCTCTCAGGTTTGCAGCTTCAATCCTGGTTAATGCAACAAACTCTTAACAGCTGCTAATGAGCTGCCGTGGGAAGGTGATTAGAGAGGAAACAGGGTGCCGCTATGAACTATATTTTATGGGGCTGTATTACAGCAAATGTATGGCTGTGGGTTGGGCTCACATGTTAGAGTATTGCTTGATCTGTGGACTGTGCTTTTGTCAGGCTTCTGTGATATTCATCACATAGACTGGCCAGAGGCAATAAATGTCTTCAATTTGAGTTTGAATTTGGGTGGAGGATGAGTTTATAGGCAGCTGTAAAACACTGAACTTGGTATGCAGCCTAGAGATGGTCTTCCTGTGAGGCTACAGTTCTGGAGGATGCATTTTGTAAGGAGAAGCAGTCATTAAAAGAAAGCAGTTGAGGATTAAACATATTTCTATTATGGATAGGAAATCCATGGACCTGTAAGGACTCTAAAACAGCATCGTGTCACTTAGAAGTTTGGATTTAGAAGGAATTACTCCCACTGATCAGTCAGCAGAACCAACAAACCCAGCACCATCTTAATTCATCAGAGGAGGAAAAACAAGCAAACAACCCTTACAGTGCGGTACAATGAACATGACAGACTGCATATATCTGTCTTTTTAATGAAGCACAGTAAATTAGAACCAACAAAGTACTCTAGATATTCAAATGAAAGGAACAGGACAGACAAAATATACTTGTGGTGGTCATGCTGTGATGCTGGGATAATCTAGGTTTTGGGGTGCCGGGTGTATTCTAGCTTCCTACCTCTGTCATCTTTATCTTGGTCTGTATTGATCTGTGATGATCTTTACAATATTCTAATTTTTATTTTATTCATTTATCTTTTTCCTCACTCATTTCTCACAATGTGTTTCACTGTAATATTCTTGTTCTTTTTAGATTAACTTAATAAAAGAACAGTGACAAACTCAATTCAGAGTTGTGCTTTGTTACAGTTTGTATTTTTGCCCGCTGCCAAAGGCAACATTATTTTTTGCCTGTTTTGTGTTTGTTTTGTTTGCATTGTTGGTAAAATATTTCATCAACCAGTAGGTTTTAATGAAGCTCTCAGAAAATAATCACTGGATGAAGGTCTGTAACTGATTAACTTTCGGAGTCAACCTCATTTAAGATGGCTGTTGCAGCAAAGCAACCTTAACAAATTGCTATCTCACTTTTACAGACATTGATCCAAATTTGGTGTTTTTTTTAGCTGAAAGTCATTTACAAAAAATACTGCAAGCATAAACTCACGAGGAATGCAGAACAACAATCACACAGAACTATTCTCATTACAAGATGATTTTAGTTTGAAACTTGAAAGGCGGCAGGCAATTTGCATTATTTGATTAAAATAAGCTTTATTTAGGACTGCACGTACTAAATTACCGATTTATCATTTAAATATTGTTATCACAAAGGTCTGCCTGGATTACATTAAATTATAGGCTGTTAGTTTTCAGGTATCATGTATTCAAGTTTTGTATGATAAAACACATTTGGCCAATCCAACAGATGCTCTCCATGCTTGATGCACATCTGGTTTATTGATGATGATGATGATGATGACAGACGAAGAAGTTTGCAAAATATGGATTCGTGGCAGTTGATATCAGCATTGCAATATTAATAATATCACACAATTTTCTAGCATTATGCATCCCTTATTGACATGCAGTTCATTTGATATACATTTATAAAATGATGAGTGCTCCACTGAGCCATGATAGAAAATGGCTGTGCCTGTAGCCTAACCCTCCCGTTTAGGATCAGATCATCATTCTGAGATCCTGAATCAGGTAGTGATTGGAGTCACATTTGTGTTAGGTTAGGTTTAGATGTATGGTGTGAATTAAGTTTTGGTTCAGATAAGGGTTAACTATAGACCAGTAATGGTTAATTTCAGGGGAAATGTCTGGGTTAGGTGTAAATACAGTTAAAAGAATGAATTGAAGTCAATATTAAGGCCTCAATTTGATGCAAATACGTGTGTGTGTGTGTGTGTGTGTGTGTGTGTGTGTGTGTGGGGACGGGTTTTTCCTACAACGTGGGGTATTTTTTACAAAAAAAGCAGCCAGGTGGGAACCGAAGTGAATCATGGGGACCATTGTCAGGTCCCCACGGGTCCAAATGCATGTTCCAGGTGTGGGGTTAGGTTTAGGACCAAGGTTTAGGTTAGTTTTAGGGTCAGGTAAGTTTCTGTGAGGTTAATTTTAGAGTATATGGTCAGGGTTAGGATATAAAGTCTAAAAAACATGAATGGAAGTCAATGGCAGGTCCCCACAGGGTCGAGAAACAAACATGTGTGTGTGTGTGTGTGTGTGTGGGGGGGGGGGGGGTGGTCTAACCATGCAGGAAGAAAACCAAGAGTGAGCGAGCGAGCAAGTGAGTGAGAAAGAGAGAGAGAGAGGGATAGAGGAGCTAAGTTGGCTTGATGTTGTTGTTGTTTGCCCTTGTGCTACCTTTAAGTCCTGTGGGAAAGATGAAAGTCCAAATGTTAACTTTTCAGGGTCAAAGAGTTTTATTTAATAAAACTCAACATAAACTGGTCTAACTTTAGACATGCTGCATCTTTTCCCCTCACTTTACATGGAGAATTGGGAAAAATATATAATTTCAACAAAAACACTCCAACAACATCAGTGTCATCTATGGGATTGCAGCATTTACACTGATAGAACAATGTCAGCTTTTTTTAGACGTATAGCTTTAAATGTTCATAGCCTATATGAAACTATTCAGCTCATTCAGGACATATCAGCTATGAATTGTTGATTTTGTAACTTTATACTTTTTCAAATTATTTAACTTTATTCATAAATGTTCATAGAAATGCATCTGAAATTTATTTCAGCGTACTTACCTGATTTTTACTTTTCATTTGCAACTGTTCTTGCAATAACTACTGTTGTGATGACTTTAGCTACTGTTTAGCTCATTTTAGTATTTTGCTACTATTTTGTTAATTTAATATTTGTAGCTTCTGCTCTGCTTATTTTGATTTTTGGCTAATGTTTAGCTAATATTAGTATTTAGTCACCGTTTTGTTAATTTTATTTTTTACCTACTGCTATTCTAATTTTGATTTTGATCTGTTTAACTAAATTTTCTGCCTTTTTGTTAATTTATCTTAAACAGTGCTGCTAATTTAGATTTTTAGCTACTGTTTTGGTTATTGTGATGTGTTAAGGTATTTTCATTTTGCTTGTTTTTGCTCTTCTAAGTCAAACAATTCAGCCTAAACTTATTAAAAATACATTTTCACCAGTATTCACACTGAATGTTCACAGAAAAAGTTTATTTTTCATGTTTTCCTCCTTACTTTGGTCTCATTTTGCACCGGTTCTAAAGGTTTCAGTCATTTTATCCAAAATTTAATCAAATCAAACTGTGGTAGCAACATGTCTTGGTCAGCGTGTCCAGGTTGTAATTTATTTAAAGCAGCTCATTGTCAGTCAGGGCACTGAACTCCTCCTTCCGCTCGGACCGTGAACGCACCATCCTGGGGGGTGTGGATCCAGTTGGTCCCCGCTGACGGGAAGCTGGTGGCTGATAATCAGTATGGGACGTTGGACCGAGCCGTGACACCGCCGAACACAGCTCGTTACACCCCCGAGCAGAACTGAGAGCCTTCAGCCCGCCTCCACCATCAGCAGCAGCAGCAGCGGCGTGCGGGCCGTGCCGTGCCGTGCCGGGATCAGCAGCGCGTGCCTGAGGATGGAGGCAGAGAAGCAGACGAATGGCTTCGATTACCTGGAGAGAAGCAGCGCCAAGGCGGAGAACGGTAGGCGCACACGGGCGAACCGAACTGTTGCTGGAGTGGAGCCAAACTAAAAAGTTGTTTTATTTTGTTATTAATGACGTCACAGATGAAGTCTTCAAACGAGTGGAGGGAAATGTGTCAAAGCTGCAGGGAGCGAAGGAAAGCTTTGCTTTCAGTGTGGAGATGACAGAATTTCGTTTATTAGGCTACCTTTGTTTGTGTGTTTGTGTGTACGTGTGTNCCCACGGGGTCAAGAAACAAGTGTGTGTGTGTGTGTGTGTGTGTGTGTGTGTGTGTGTGTGTGTGTGTGTGTGATGAGTTTAATTAGCTATTGTAAGCTGGGTTTGCTCAGTGCTGTATGCTTGCTGGCTCTGTGAAACAATAAAACTCTGACCTCTGGTATGATAAAAGAGGAGTTGCTCCTTTGAGCATGTCAAGTGGTGGTGATAGAGCCCCCACACCCACCCCACCCCCTACCCGACCACAGTGTGACCCAGAACCCGGCCACATCATCATCTACAATTTCAGCTACTTGAAAATAAATCAATTATTACTACTTACATAGAAAAATCTAAAGTTTGAAAGTAGAAACATTCAACAACCAAGTGCAAATGTGCAGTTTTGTCTTTAGGATTACAATTACTTCATAGTATTTCAATGTTTATCCTGCTTTTATGTCAGGTCAGAGTTTTAAAGTGACAAAGATCTTACCGTAAAATGAGAAATGTGGAGTTGTAACCATTTTGATCAAACCTGGACATTGAACGTAATTTCATCTGAAATCAGGTGTTTGATACAGAAGAACCCTAAACATCCTCAGCAGTTCCATTAAATCCATCATCATGAACTGTAAGGAATATTGGACATGTAAACCTAACAACAGCAGGCTGTTCTCACAAACTTAGTGACTGTGAAGAAGGAGAATAGTGAGACCATCAAGACACCTGAGACCACTCTGATGGAGTTCCAGTTTTCAGCAGGTGAGGGAGAGATTGAGCTACAGCCGTTGACCAGGTTATTCATCAGTCTGAGCTTTAGGTGAGAGTGACAAAGACAACATTACTGATGAAGAAAAACTGGAGTTTGTCAAACAACATGTGGAAGACTCTGATCAGGTGGTAAAAAGTTCTTTTATCTGATGAGATCAAATGGATCATTTTGACCATCAGAAATTGGATTTCACTTTGATACTGAATCATTTTTTTAGCCAGAAATGACAATTTTTATTGACCATGAAATATTTGTTATAACAATTAAAACATAAAACATCCAAGAGGGTGATTACTCTTTATAGGCAGTGTACATGTAGTTTTCTCTTTGTTAGTGAAATATCTCTTGGACCATTAGATGTATTTTAGTGAACTATCTGTACCTGACCCTTTAATGATCTGTCTTCTGCAGCTTGCTCACCTCAGAAAACACAGAAGTTAGTTAGTTTTACAGGTAATGTGTCATAAGTGTGGTGTAGCTTTAGCTGAGAATCTTTCAGATCAGACTCATCACATTTGCAGGGTTGCATCACAAGTACCAGTTTTTCAAGGTTTTACCAAAATACAACTCCATTTTTTTTCTCAGCACAGAATAAACATATTAAACTCTTGTCATGAAAAGTGGCAGGTGATATAAATTTAAAGACTACTAGACCTTTTTTATTTTTTGGTTTCTGACTGGCTGGTTTTGGACTGGTGTCACTCTCAGATATTTTTTTCCATTAAAAAAACTGAAAAACTGGACTGATTTCGAGACTTTTTACTGATTATTGCTTAATTTCATTTTGATATCTCCACACAGGCCAGTTTTTATGCATATAACCAGACTTCAGACTTTGTGACTTTTCTCAATGTGACAAGTCAAGTTTTTTAATGAACCTTCCTGCAGCTCCTCTGCAGTAACATGAGCAGGGAAAGTAGTATTACCAAGATGTTTTCTTGTTTATTGTCTTGTTGTGTGGTCCAGAGATCCCACCATACAACCTGATTTATTCACTTTGAACAGTAGGACGTGGCAGCTACAGCTGCTGCAGATACCTGACAATAAAACATAACTTTAATGTTTGAGTAAAGTCAGTGGTGTTGGACAGCCGAGAGGTCCAACAGATCTTACACGTTCTAACGTGTAAGTTTGGCTACGTTCACACTGCAGGCAAATCCGACCCAAATCCAATTTTTTTGACCCATTTGACTCGTATCCGATTTTTTTTATGACAGTCTGAACGAGACAAATCCGATTTTTTTCAAATCCGACCCAGGCCGTTTCAGTATGTGGTTTTAAATCGGATACATATCTGATGTTTTCAGAGCGACTGCAGCTCATGTCACATTCATCTGACTTTTTCATCAGGAGGAGGGGGTGAAGGACCGATAAGACACTAAACTCAAGCAGAGCCGGCTCTTGGCATAGGCGAACTAGGCGGTCGCCTAGAGCGCCATCTGCTGGAGGGGGCAC